TGGTCTGATAACCATAATCCCACCACGATGCAACCTGAAAGAAATGCATTTTAAAAAATAAAAAGTTGAAAATAAAAAATTTATTATTTAAAATTTTGTTTTGAAAAATTAAATTTTCATACAGCACGACAAGTTGAAGTAAATGTTTGAATTAAAGTTATTTGTTACTCTTGTTTGTATTTGTAATTTATAAGTTTTACTTTTTTCATATATTTTTATCTTGAATGTTTAAACACAATTTATGTTGTTAGATATTTTTTTGCAAAAAATACTTTATTTAATATGCTACTCTTGTTTGTATTTGTGATTTATAATTTATAAGTTCTACTTATTTCATATATTTTTTTCTTGAATGTTTAGACATGATTTATACTGTTGGATGTTTTTTCGCGAATAATACCTTATTTAATATTTGATACAAGTTTTCAAGTAAATTATAGTCTCCTTCTTTATTATAAATTAGAAATAAACTTTAATTTTTATAGAAAAAGAAATATATTAGAAGAATAAGCAGGAGGATAAGCTATCCTCCAAAAAATAAAAAGCATGAAGAAAATGAAGAGAAAATAAACAAAAGTTTCAATATAAGATCATCTATAAAGCCCTCTATAATGCAGAAAGAGGAACCCTGATAAAGAAACTGTGCTCTTTTGCCCAAAGAGAAGCTATGCACACAATCCTATCCGGGATATAATTAACAGAATAAGAATGATGATTAGAAATATAATCAAACTTTAATTGATCAAGAGATCAGAAGGGTGACAAATTAAAGATAGGCAGTACTAAGAAGCAAGCAGTCTAAAGCAGACTTCGACCTTTCAACTACCATCTTATTCTACCTTAAGGTGCTTGTAGTCCATCCTAGTATTGGTTCAGGGTCATGTCCTAGAGCTACATTAAGACAACAAAATGAAGAGCCAAAACTGCAAAAAGACAGAAAAGCTCCAACTCTGTCGGCTTGGCACCATGCAATATATTCTCACATCACTGGCAAATCATCTTATGTGGTCGTCTTTGGCTACTCGCATTTGCTTAGACAAGCAAATCCTAACCCCTTGGCACTTCCAGTAAGACTCAGCCCCTTGGTATATAATAGACAGTACACGAATTCATGCTAAAATCAACTACATTTTACTGTACTCTTCAATGCTTGTACCAGACATAAAGAGAAGTACAATTGAAGTGCGCTTCTGAGATATTGGGACAGAGAAGGAACTAAAGCAAAAAAGAAATGCAGGATTCAAAACAGAGATAATGCTTCAATAAATGCAGGAAAACAGAGATAATGCTGCAGGAAAACAGAGATAATGCTAAGTGATATACTTACTTTATCATCCACCTCAGTGTTATGGCGTAACCATGCATAAGCCTCTCTGAAATCATCAAAAACATGCAGACCATCATGTGAGTGAGATGTTAAAACTATGGATGGGGCTGAATATGCTTCTGCTGCTGCCCATACACAATGAACCTACACCAAGAAAGATGAGTTATAGAGAGAATTTTACATCACTGAAAGAAAAAGAGGGGATCATCAAATAAGAAAAAGAGAATATTGAAATATCCTTAAGACGTTTGAGACAACTAGAACAATTAGGATAATAACTAAGTCCCTAGTCGTCTGCTGTATATGAAAATTCTCATTCATATATAAATGAAAAAGAAAATTCTTGAACCAGAAGATTAGGCCTTTGGTTTGAACCATATCATCTTGGTGTAACATTGTCTACTTAACATTACTCAGCAATCAACTTGAGGCATTAATAGAACAGTTTGTCTCCTTCACGGAAGCGTGTAATCAACTTGATGGTATTAATAAATACAATTTAGATAACCATTTGACCACACAGACCATATGGATGAAGACAAATCATTGTGTCTGTAAAGAAACAAAAATTAACTCATAGAACGAGGGTAACAGCCAAAATTAACTGTTCTGCACAGGAAGACAGAAATCTACATACCACATAGAAGGAACCCAATATTATAAGAAGAAGAAGAGAAATCACTGATGCGTCTAAAGGCAAAACTAGAAGTCTCTTTTCTATTCTGGACTTGGTAGAAGGTTTTTCTACAGGCTCCTTCTCCTTCTTCTTGCCCTTCCTTGATGGACGGTCCTTCAATGTTTCTTCACTTCTATCAGTCTTCACATCATTTTCTGCTATAACAGTAGCAGGAGTCTTATCCCCTGCCTTGATAGGGAATGTAGAAGAAAACAATTTCAGTCCAGAAGCTGCTAATCTTATTATCAGACAGGAAAAGCAAAAAAATTCAGTGAGAGTAAGGAAATAATCCTTACATCAACTTCAGAATTCCCAGAAACTCCAGGTAGCTGAAATTTGATCGATCCTGTAAATACTTCAAATGCTTGAGAGAGAGCTATCCCAGACATTATGCATGCTGCCGGAGCAAGCACAAGCATAAGGCGCACCTGTATTGGCCCAAAAATTTTCATCACAGAATTACAATTAACTCAATAACACAGGGGGATTGGCCTGTGCAGTTATTCGTCTTACCATGACTCCGGAGAAATAAACAGATGTAACAATATAGAGCACCATAAAGGAACTTGCATCAGATAGGGGCAAAAAGCAAGCCTGCCAAAATGAAGAACATGGTGACACCATGAGAGCTGAAGTTAAAACTGAAAAGCCAATTTTTGGTGAAATTTGTTACTTACAATTATGCCAGCTGGAACCAAGAATGCCAAAGCATTGATGTCCATAAAGTAGGAAGGCCAAGTAGGGGGTTGATGTTCACTGACACTAGCAATAATTGGTATGTATTTGCTTGCATATGTCCTGTCATGATGCAGTATAATCAAAATATAAATATCAGGAAGGAAATCCAGAAAAACTATGACCAAATTTCTTCTAGTCTAGAACTATTGTAGAAAAAACACTGAAAGAAGCTTTGTTGCCAAGAAAATTGACCTATTTAGTTCTCAGCTTAAGTCCCATTATCGACATTAGCAACACGACAATGCCTCTGAAAAATAGATGAACTGCTCGTGCTTAGACTTTTCAGTTAAACAGAGACCCTTCTTAAGTGAAGAAGAGATTATGATGTCCTGGAAATACTACCTTGTAATGAAAGTTTGGACAATCTATATAAGGTTGTTGATGTTTAGGTATAATTTCTTTTTATTTGACAGTCAAAAGTATTTCTAAGCTTTACGCCCAATGGAAGGCCCAAATATCTAATTACAAGGTTCAACTTCTTCAACCCCAAGATGATATCAAGTTGATCATCCTCTCCATGTTCATCCAACTGCACCAGTTCTGACTTGATCTTAAGACCAAAAACCACTTGGAAGCTCACCAATTCACGCCTAAGATTAAGGAGGTCGCTTGGATTTGGCTAACAAAACAGTAGTGTATCGTCAGCAAAAAATAAGCAATCACTTCAACCTCTTTCCCATTCCTCCTCATCTTCACTCTCTTATAAATGTTCAATTCCCTACTTTGATAAGTAGTTTGTTTAGTACTTCCATGATCATCAAGTAGAGCAAAAGACACAATGGATCACCCTATCTTAAGCCTCTAGAAGTCCGAAAAAATTCAGATGGTTCACCATTCACTAGAACTGAAAAGGAAGAAGTGATAATGCAAATCTTAATCCAGATTCGTCATTTATGCCTGAAATTCATTCTCTTCATTATGTAGAACAGAAAACTCCAAACCACGTGGTCGTAAGCCTTCTCATATCCAGCTTGCAAAAACACCCATC